TACCCTTCCCTAGCCATCCTTTACCCATTTTTCCTCACTGCCTTATCCCACCCACCTCTTCTCAAGGCAAGTCTATACTGCCCCCCCCCCCGCCTCCCACACGTGGTTCTCCTGGTTGATTATTCACGGAAAACCATATGCTCTCGCTTTCTCTGTTTTAATCGAATGATCTTCTGTAAACTCTAGTTTCATTTTTTTTTAGTATTCTGATCACTCTCAACTCTGTTGTCTGTTCCGGTCTTATGTTGGCTCCACCGTGGATCGTGAAATTGTCCCCGTCGCAATTTTTTTTCTCACCAGTGCAACCAATCCGCGATGCTCGCATCTCTCGAAAAGTTTTTGTCTTTGCTTTTCGTGATTAGAACTATCGAGATGCACCTTGGTCGCATTGAATGACAGCCCTGTGTGCGTGCGTGCGTGCGTGCGTATGGAGAGGGAGGTTGCGTGTGAGTCGGGCAGAAAGTCACGGGGGCCAGAGAGAAAGAAAGGTTTAATAATTTTACAATCACTAATAGAGTGAAACTTCATCGTTAGAAACAGAGCAATTCACGAGTATCTTCTGATGCATATGAAAATGTGAATGCGTTTACGCCCCTACCCTGTATTGATGGAACAGAGATTGGACTATTTTACAATAAGATGATTATCAACCGTATGAGAATGTACGACAGAGGTGAATGGACATAGACGAACCGGGGATTGGATAGAAAGAGAAAGAAAAAATAGTCGAATTCATCATTTGTGATCTTATCCATCGGGGGTAAAAACGTTGTTGGTACGATGTTCCGTGCAACATGATTCCAGCTGTTGTTGCACGTGGATGGGCTTTTGTCACGAAGTTCTTGGACTTGGCCATCACAATTATACACAGACCTTTCTTTCTAATATGGTACGGGTATCCGGGACAGGCATGATCGACGCGCATACTATTGTAGATTCGGTTCTACCGGTCATGTACGGTTTCATTTACGGGGATGGAACAAAATTACTAGCAAACGTTTTTGATTCCATCCCATGCAGGTGATGATTTTACGAAAAGACTGTTCTGACCCAAATGTCTTGCCCACTTATGGTGACAAATTCCATTACAGTAGAAACTGTGACCGTTTGTTAACCGGTTATGGTCTATGGGGAATTTTGTTTCTCTCCTTAATTACAACGTGGTAAATAGAGATGATGGACCTCGGTGAATATTCGTACTCAATGCACTGGCCTGATGACATTGCCACGGTTATTCTGCCCCATGCACAACTGATACCCCCTTTTGGAGGGTCAAAAGCAACAACAACAACCGTGCAAATCATTGTCATCATCACCCGAACCAAACGGATCGAGTCACACTGATGTCATCAGACAAGACAGTTGATTGACATTAGCTGTGGACAATTTGTGACAAGAGTGGTGTGATGGCGATGCTTGTCGGTGCTCTTTCGGTCCTCTTCTCATTCCAGTCTAACCCCTTTGGTCGTGTGGGTTGGACTGATAGCAGATACCCAGTAGTAGTAGTAGTAGTAGTAGTAGTGGTAGTGGTGGCCAGTGTACCACGGGCATGCATCACCATCCGATCGATAGCTAATGGTCATACAGTCAGTCGCTCGACCTAGTTTACGGACATGACGGGCAAATGCGACGAAATTGCACAGACCAGATGAAAACCCTGGTTGGGTGGGGGTCGGGGCTGGATGGGATGGGACGATAATATGGCTAACGCGTTCTGACCGCACTAAATCGTAGACCGCTGCGAAATCCGCTTGCTCACCATGTTCGAAGACCGGGATAGTCAACGGTTTTGTGACAGAGATGTTTCATATTGTCTTGAAACTAGTATGACAGCGGGAACAACAGCTAGAATTCTGTTACTTATCCTACACTGTTGTTGGATGAACCTCAACGTGAGGAAAAGATGCGTAACATTAACACGACGTATTTACTGAACGCGAGTTCGAGCATCCACCACTTCGTGTTATGCTGTGAACGTGAAGTAAATTTTAATCTAATTCATGTAAGAATTTGTCATATAGTTTACACTATTCAATAAGCACTGTTGTTATGATGAGTTATTCGTTATTTAAATTATGAACAATATAAGGTCACCAAATTAATCTATATACTCAATCAACTCACCTGTGGTCGGATAGGTTCGCCCGATCGATACTGTCTATTATTTACCACATGATAAATGTGACGTCTAGTAAAGGAATCAAGGTCATCACTGTAAGATAGAGATAGGGGCACATTCGTCCAAAAACAAGACTTCGGATTCTGTGCCGGCAGATGGAAATTTGATCAATGGCCGGGAAAATAAACGAGCAGGCGGTATTCTCTAATCGTCGCGGTTGTTGAAACGTGCACTTCACCGTCGGACAGATACTGGATAAAAGTGATACAATGCTTCTGACTGGGATTCACAGCCAAATTTACGGGGAGGATGGGGGGACCACAGCGGTAAACCTTTTGGCGATAGACGATAGACGTAGAAAATCGGAAAGTGATCACATGGTGATGGACGGTTGAATGATATGGTTCTCCGCTGAACAAGATCCAAAAGTATCAGAGAATACGAGGGAGAGAGAGACCATGCCTCAAATCTGGCTACCGTATGTCGATAATTGCTCTTATTTTGGTGTTGTGCATCGGGTAAGAATCCTGAAAGAATTGAATGATTGTTTTGCATGGAAACCCCCTACCCCAGAGACGCACGATAGAGATTCAAGAATGAGTGAATCAATGTAGTGAAGAGAAACCTAGAATATTGAGTACAAATATGGATTGAAGTGATGGGAAGTGACGAAAATTGGGATCAAACTATTAGATACTTCAGAAATACAAACTTACATGAAATTTTTCACTTTCAGTTCC